TCGAGGAAAGTTCGGGGTGATTGTTTGTCCATAAGGAAAGTCGAGGCTGAGAATGCTACAGAGCTGGGAGAGGCTTCTTGAATTCAACTTGTGGGATAGCCGGCAAATTGAAAAGTGGAAGGTCAAATCAACGGTCGTCTCACCTCCCATCACCCAGGGAAGGATTTATCTTTTTTGACACTCAAATACCTGAACGCTCGACGTCAGTAATATTGACGTGAGAACCATCTCTCTTTCTCCAATGCTCAGTTGGAATGTTTTTCAACGTGCCTCACTAGCGCAATTCTCAGGACGATGAGCATCTCCATGCGTGCAATTACTGCTTTCGGTCCTTCAATCACCATTTCCCTAGACCCATCACGATCTAAGATAGAAAAAGCACGTCAAGTTTGTCTACTTGTTTCAACGACAGACATTTGAACATTCCATGCTCCATCGTCTCGAGGACACAATTCTTCCACGACCTGGACGAAGGAACGACTGCAAGTTCTATAAGATACAACGGGGTTGCCGAGCACTCTGCACAGATGTAGCTTTTTTGAGCAAACGTACAGAGGATGGGCGTGTATGCTTCTATCACGAAAGGGACTGAAAGCCGTTTGAATAACTAACACTGTTAGTTAGCTCGACCAGAAACAATTCTGTTTCGACGAATAGTATATTTAAACCTTTTCGTTTACTTCTTTTCAAAGTTCCGTACTCTTCTTCTATGCAGTGATTTGCCTAAAAATTACTACACGTATTTAAATTTTTATTTGATAGAGATTAGTGGACAGTGATTTGTTTTGATAAAAGCGCAAAAAAATGAAATACATGATAAGAAGACCTTATTTCATTCGAAAACCATGTTAAAATGCGTCAATGACATTTAAATGTTGAAACGAAGTAGGCGAGTTATTTGTTCCACTTCGTTCTGCTCATGACCATGCTTGTGCTCCTTATGCTCTATCTGTTCATGTTCGTGCTCGTACGCATTATATTCAGAATGCTCATTGTTTTTATGCTCTTGCTCGTGTTCGTGTTCGTGTTCGTGTTCGTGTTCGTGTTCGTGCTCATGCTCATGCTCATGCTCGTGCTCATTCTGCTCCAGCTCATGCTCATGCTCGTGCTCATTCTGCTCCTGCTCCTGCCAAGGCTGCTGTTGATCATTTTCATTATCATTCTGTTCATGCCCAAGCTCGATCTGCTCCTGCTCCTGCCAAGGCTGCTCATGATCATGTTCATGATTATTCTGTTCATGCCCAAGCTCGATCTGCTTATGCTCATGCTCAGACTGCTCATGTTCGTGATCAGTTGTCTCCTTGTGCTCATGCTTAGGCCCATTCTGTTCGTGCTCTCTCTGATCGTGCTCTTTCTTCTCTTGTTCATTCATTGCTTGCTCTTTTTGCTCTCTCTCGTTCTTATCCTGCTCGTTCGTTTCTTGATCTTTGATTTCTTGATCTCTTTTTTCTTGTTCATTATTTTCTTGATCCTTTTGCTCGTGCTCCTTTCTTTCTTGTTCGTTCTTATCTAATTCATTTTGCATTTGATCGTCTTGATCCTTATGCTCTCGCTCATTCTCCTGTTTGTTCTTATCTTGCTCCGTCTTCTCTTGTTCCTTGTTCTCTTGCTTTTGCACTCCTTCATTATGTTCGCCATTGAGGACTGCATCAACGCCGACTTCAGCACCAGCACCTATACCGGACGAATGGCCATGAAGGAGGGATATTGAGTAGCGGTGAGGAATATATCCAATCGCAAAATCTCTGACATCTCCTGCATCGAGACCAGTAGCAGATCCAGCATTGACCGATATCGCAGCAGCGACATCGACACCAAGCGCAGCTCCGGCGTCAAGACCAATAGCAGCTCCAGCATTGACTCCCAACGCGGCAGCGGCATCAACACCAGCAGCACCCCCAGCATTGACCGATATCGCGGCAGCGGCAGCGGCATCGACACCAAACGCAGCTCCCTCATCTAGACCACTAACACCTCCGGCATTAACCGATATCGCGGCAGCGGCATCGACACCTAAAGCAGCTCCGTCATCGAGACCAATAGCACCTCCAGCATTGACAGATATCGCGGCAGCGGCATCGACACCTAAAGCAGCTCCGTCATCTAGACCACTAACACCTCCGGTATTAACTGATATTGCGGCA